TGCTTCAGGGCAGAGGGTGGGGAGCATTGATTATGAATGAGCACAAGGAAATTTTCTTGCATGATATAATGGCTTGTATTTTAACAGCATATGGGTTATACAAACGCATGCAAATTTTAGTGAATGCACACCTCGAATTAGTGGATGTAAATTTTCCATCAGAAGGAAAAACTACACAGATATTGAATTCTAGTTAACATATGCACGCTGAAATTTTTAGAGGAAAGTATTCCAATGTTTACAATCTACTTTGAAATGCACCAAATTAAAACAGACTAAAGAATAGGTCAAACATAAATGTGGATAGACATAGGATAGAAGAAAGATATCATTATGTGTTAATGGTATAATCTTGGTGGTGGGTATTCTGGTGTCTGCTGTGATTTTTAACAGTGCAAAATTGTGTTAATAAAATGTTGGAGAAAATGTTTTATTATATTATCCTGACTTTGTAGAAAAATAAAGATTAAAAGCGTAAGAATGTATTCATGTGAGTAGGAACTTTCTAGCTCTAGTTTTCTCAGCTGGCATCAGGAGTCTGCAGCACCCTTGCTGATTGGGTCCTTACAAGCAGGAAGGACCAGGAAATGCGATATTCATGGCTTGATGAACTACTCTCAACAACCATCTTACACCATTTGTCCTGATATTGGGTTAATTGAATCATCTTCCGATTATAGTTCAATTTCTCAAAGAATAGGAAGAGAATGAAGTAATCTAGACCCCATGTTTAGCAATTAATTATCTTTCTCATTGTAAATTAATACATTGGTTTTCTGGTAGAAACCAGGGTGATTTGAATGTGGATTCCTGAACAACTCATGGCGAATTGGCGGTCAAGATATAGGCTTCATGGAACTGAGAAAGAATCTCTGGGCTTCAAAATATATCTTCAATGCAAAACGGCAAGCTACAAGGTCCCAGTTATGTAACCTGATGTTCTCCTTAGGTTTATCAATAGCATGTACCAACAAAGTACACCAAGATCTCTATTTCTATGAAATTGCTTCAAAACTTATTGGGATAAAATATATCTGTTTATATTTAATTTCTCTTTCAAACAGAAAGTATTATTCCATATCAGCAATCTAGTGTCATGATAAACAGTTTGGAAACAGAAAGCCTTGGGATAAAATGGCTAACTCAGTGCTATTTGTTGAAATGGGACTCTATTATCTCCCATCCTACCCAGTACTGTAATGGTTTACTTTTCCTTAAAAAAATAATGTTCCTAATATAAAAATTTTCTCAATTTGACTCTGTAACTCTATTAGGAAAAAAAAAAACTGTACACATTCAGGAATATTGGGAATATGTTCTTTGTACTCAGCAATTCCTTATCAATTTAAAACATATTTTTCAAAATCTGTGGCTACTCGCCTACAGCACACATGACTTTCCCCAAAAAGAAAACTTGAAAGCAATTTGCCTATTTTAAATACTTTCTCTGAAATTCTGGAGGGAACTATATTATGCAAAGACAATGAGTATCCGTATGCCTTTCTTTATTACAACTATTTAGATGCTCAACTGTAGTTAAACTGAATTACAATGCCTTTCAGTAGTCTTTTAATGGAAGAGCCACAGGATGGCCATACAGCTCCACTGCAAAACTATAGCTCTTTCCCGTTAGCAGAATTTAAGGGTATTGTATACACCACATACTCTCTTGAGCACTGGAAATGAGAACACACCTAAGTAGTAGGCAGAGTACATTATTTTAGTTTAAGAAAAACCAAAATGCCTATCCAGAATTATGTTTGTGCTTTCTAAGTTGCTCTGCCTCTGTGTTCCTGGCCCATAAAATAGACAAATGCAAGTTTCAAGCAGAAGAGTAAACAAATGAATTAAATAAACAAATAAGTCAATGGTAAGAGTTAGGAAATGAATCTGCAAGGGATAAACAGGTGCAATCTCTGTCATGGGAAAGTGGAAGTAGGTGATGGAAAAAAGCCCTGATCTCAGGGTCAAGATGCTACTGTTGTTCTCCAACTTTAATAATTTATCAGCCCTTGGACAAATTTCCTAATATCCCTGAGCCCCATGAACTAATTGTAAAATAAAATGGAGAGAGTTCATTATGAGGATTAAATGAGCAATATAAACAGGAAACACTTTGCAAATTTAATAATGCTGTATAACTGACAATTCCCTTTTACGTTGGAAGCCTTTTACTCTGCCTCGCCATGCCCAGGCATGTGTACCCAACCCCAATATGTGTAAGAGCGTCTGCCTATAACAGAGCTCCGGCAGGGCAGGCAGTGAGCTCACGGGCACCCCCGTGCACCTGCGGTGACACTCATGACTCAGCAAGTGTGACGTGAGCAATGCTGCAGGGCCCTTTTTGCCCCTGAGATAGCTCTGAAATCATCCTTCCCTCCTTCCCTTGTGTTACAGTTAATTTTATTCATCTGGGTTATGATATTGTCCCCAAAATACGTAAACACGCATGTATGTTCCTGTGCCATTCCCTTCCCTTCCCAAACAATTCCACCTTCAAGCCAGTAGGTAGAACATGGCAAGCGTTAGTTTTCTATTGCTGCCAGAACAAATGACCACATACCTCGGGGCTTAAAACAGATTTATTATCTCACATTTCTGGAATTGAAAAGTCCAAAATGGATCTTTACTGGGCTAAAATCAAGGTGTCAGCAAGACACCATTCCTTTCTCCAGGCTCTAAAGAAATCCATTTCTTTACCTCTTTCAGCTTCCAGAGGCTTCTTGACTCATGGCCCCCTTTCACCTAGGCCTTCTCAGCTGCCATCTCTTTAGTTTTCCCTCTTTTGCCTCCCTCTTCCACTTAGAAAGACCCTTGTCGTTAGATTGGGGCTACCAGAAAAGCCAAGATAATCTCCACATATCAAGGTCTCCTGATAGCAGCAGGCTTAATTCCGTCTGCAGCCTTAATTCCCATTTGCCATATTTCCTCACATATTAATGAGTTCCAGGGAGTAGGATGGGGACATCTTTGGGGGGGTCACCATTCTGCCTCCTGTAAAGTTTTTCCAAGACAAAAGAAACAGGGGTGGGGGTAGCAAAACAATGTGGCTTTATTGAACGCTCCCGGGTGAGGTTCGCAGGTCCCAAGGGGGTGCTGAGAAGTCACACCCATTTGAAGGGGGCAAGGCTTTTATACCGTTTTATGTGGACTGAGGACTTTTGGTGGAAAGAGCTGGGGATTTTCCACTGTGACCTTTGGTGGTCATTGAGAAATAGGAGGGGCTGCAGTATTTGTGGAATCCAGGAACCAAAACTTTCTTATCCAGGTTGACATCTAGGTGTGGTTGTTCTCAGCGGGGCCTGGCAGTTGTCCTTGGTGGGTCTGGTCTCGTAAGCCTTTTCTTTATTGATCTAGGGAGGGGAGGGGCACCCGCCACCCGCCTTACACCTCCCACAGTAGACCATTGTGCCATCAGTGAGTAGCCCACAGCCTCAGCAGAATCAACAGGGTGGCCCCACAGAGAAGCAGCACGCACAGTGTCAGATTCGAAGCAGAATGAGGGGAGCATCCCCACGGCAACACCGTCCATGCAGGGTGTTGAGTCCCAAGTTCGACGCAGAGGCATCCGTGCGCAGGAGCAGCATGGCCGGGTGTCAGAACTCAAGCTATGTGCAGATGGCATTCACGGCCAAGGGCAGCCTGACTCCTGACGTTGGCACCTTGGTGGGGTGAGAAGGCTTCCCACAAGGGACAGTGTTGCAGCACCGGGTGTCAGAAACCAAGAAAGGTAGCCACACTTCCAGGGATGGGGAGACTGGCATGGAGAGTCAAAGCTTGAGCTAATGTTGGAGGGCATCGAGACACAAGGTGGCCCAGGGGCGAATGTCAGAGCCACAGAAAGAAGTCTTGTCTGTGCGGAGAGGCCCGACTGTCAGAGCCGGGCGAGTGGAAGAGGAGGGCATCCACATGGGGAGGTGACTTGACATGGAGACTGGCGTGCGTGCGGTGCCCACAGAGGTGGACAGAGAAGACAGGGTGTCAGGGCCCGAGCCAAATATAGAGGAAGTCCACACAGCATGAGAACATGACACTGAGTATCAAAGGCTAAGAAGTACGAGATTATCCTCGCAGGGGAGGGGGACCCATGGACTGTCACAGCCTAAGACATTTGAGAAGGGAAAGCCAATGCAGGGTGTCACACCCCAACAAAGGTGAGCGTGTCCATGGGGACTGGGGAGGAGGGACAAAAACCAATGGCTGAAAAGAGCATTTACGCAGAGGAGCATATGGGAAGTTGGAGACAGCCGATGAGAAAGGTATTTACGGGGCATAGGTCATGGTACAGGTCATGGCAACCAATTTGAGAGGTTGGTCACATATAAAGAAATTGGTTAATAAAAATCTAGTTTCTCATTGTCAGAGAAGAGGGTTAACAAATACAGAAAGAGAAAACTAGAGTGAACCATGTGGCCAACAAACATTTTAAAAATCCTATTGAATAAGTGTTTGAAGTAATACAAAAATATTCTACTTTGTTAGCTCAAGGTTGTCACTCCAAATATTTTCTTTATAAAGGGATGGCAATTTTAAGTTCACAAAAAGTTAGGATTCTATATAAAAAATGAAACCCCAAGATGATTTACAATAGAAGCAATTTACTGACTTGTTTTATATGTCATTTTAATTTGTATGAAGTTTTCAAAAATAGTATAATACAGAAAATAAAATATTTGCTCACCAACAATTTTGAAGATTTGTAGCTTATAGAGAGAGAGATTCCATGTCATAAGAGAGAAAGCAGAAAGAAAGGAATTAGCAGGTCCATTTCATTCTTATATAAATGTAATTTCTAGATACCGATATAATTTCTCTATTATCTCTAAAAGAAGCAACAGCCACTTCTAAGGAAATAGATTATATAAAAATTCTACTTTGCCATGAAATCCTTCAATGAAAAGAAGTAACTTTTGCTTCTGAATGCTGTCCTTCCTAACAGATCCACTTACAATAGAACACTAAATTAATTTATATTGAAATCACTACTATCCTCTCATAAATTGTTTGCTATCCAATTTATTAAATTAACAACTGTGTTCTCGTTATAAAATACTCAAGGCACATTCACAATCTACTGAGAGCTTTTCTATTATAATTATATTGCAGTATTCATGCCAGGAACAAGAGCTTTGGAACACCTACTGACTTATAGTTTCCTCTTACATAACTTTCCAACTCAATTTGATATTATAATTAAAAGGGTCCCGTAATTGTTAACATCATAAACACTTTTTCATTTAAAAATTAGAACAATGTTACTCAGAATGTCATATTTATTAACCATGGTAAAGAAAGAAGAAAACTGAACTGCCTTAGAAAGGAGTTGTCTCTCTGTGAATATAAATGAACAATATCAAATATTAGAAAGTGGAAAGCAATATTGATATGAGGAAGCATTTTTCTAAGACATTTACATTCAAAAAATATGGTTACCATACGAATGATAAAAAAGGGGATAATATAGAAAGAAAACTATTTCTTGATAAATATTAATAAGCAAAAACTTTCGCTAAGAAAAATACCAACTTGAAAATAAATGATAAAATGCAATGAGTACTTTAGGTAAGGGAAGAAAAATAACACTTTGCTCTTAAACACGAACCATAAATATGATGATGCTGATGGAAAATTTTCTAGGACTTGGATAGAAACATATATACTATTTCACATAGTAAATCACATTTCTTTCCTCTGTTATAATATTGAATGTGACGTTAGGAATCTCTTCTCTTCAAAATATACTAAATTTTTCAAATAAATCTGAGTCACCATCAATCCTGCCCTTAGGCATAAGCAAAAGAGGCTTCTGCCTTGGTCTTCATACTTTAGGGTTCCCACGTATCCTAAGAACATAAAGAAACAAATGCCTTTAATAAAGAACATACGGACATCTCTGCATGTGGCCTTCTGCTGCTAGGGCTGTCAGGTGTCATCTGAAACTCCAAACACCCTTTCTTATTCTTGAGCCTTTCAGGCCTCAGCGAAGTATTTCTCCACATCTTGAGCTGCATCTAACCACCATGAAGATTGCGGGTCATGCATTTGTTGATACCAGAAATACGTAATGCTTTAGTTAGGTCGATATTTTTATTCAACTGGACAAGAGTCAATAATCATTATACATTTTCGGTAGCAGGTATTGTTAAATAACTCTGTACTTTCAACTCCCCAGACACCCAGAAAACCCCGGATGGGAGCTGCTGTGGATGACATCTGTCCGACAGATAGCAGAATACATGGACATCTCTGATTGCAGTCTCAGTTCACATTCCTTGTAGTGTTCATCCCACGTGTTAACCACCCAGCGAATTAAAGTACCTCAGCTGCTATGCATCGCCCCCAACGCCATGAAAACTATTTTTCAGCCATCGAGGTCAAATAATCCTTTCCTATGCAAAATGCCATAGGACAGCTATTTCCTAAAGGTTAGACAAGAAGCATGCACCAACAGCTTCGTGTATAACAAAGTGTAGGGTAAGCAATGTCCTTCTAAATACAACGTGGAAATTACACGTTGGCTTGAAATATACACGAAATAAGTATTCTTTACTTCCTGCTGACAATCTTCACTCCACTTAAGAAAAAATAAGTGGCCCTATGAAAGCCCAGACTCCAGTTGATAAATAAAAAAGAGCTGAGTTTTGGCTTAAATCAGAGGTTAGTCAGATCCTCTAGGTCGCCCTTCCAGCCTCTTTCTGCAGGAATCTACCCAGTGGAAGACCTTAGGGACTGCTGAGACCATTGGAACCAGCTCTTTGATTGCACACGTGTGTCTGCAGTTGTTTTTGTCTTCCAAAAGGAGAAGGTAATCACTGGGGTAGGAGACAGACAGCCAGGCACAGAGAATTCATAACAGGCTCACTGTGCCAAGATGCGAAATGTACTCAGATGCCCCAGTTGCTCCCCAAAGCACCCTTGGAAAACACTATCCACTCACCCGCATCTGGAAACCACAACTGCTTCTTATAGAACGTTCTGTGGCTGAAGCTGGCAGCGGTGGGTTTCCACACAGCACACAGAGTAAATAAATGCAGGCTTTGCTTTTTACAATGTTAACTGGCATCGCTGACTCTCCACTGCCAATGGAAATACCTGATTGTCAAGATTTCCCTTGGAGAATTGTCATTCTTCCACTTCGAGAAATTGTACGTAAAATTAGTAATCAACACACCCAAAGCGTCAGAGTAGTCATAAAAGAGACAGAGATCTTTTCTGAAAGTAAAGTACAACATTGTTGATGTATGTGGCTCTTCTTTCCAGCCAGTGCCAGACTCTGGATTGTCACAGATGTCTGGAGTTGGAAGGAATCTTAGCAACCAGGTAGGCCTCCTCTGGCCCTTTTCTGAGCAAGTACACCCCTTTTGATCCTGAGCCTCTGGGGAACCGTCTAAGGGGCAGCTGAGAAGCCTCAAGACCTTTCGAAATGGTTTCTCCTTAAGGTGAATACTGAAAATGTTCCAGTCTTTCTGAACAATTTCCCCAACAGTTCAGGTCTTCATAAAATAACAAACCTTCTAGATAATTTCTCTGAAATTCTATTTTACATTCAATCTTACCATGATTGCTTCAATCCCATTGTTTTGCCTTGTAGGAATGCTTTTTCTTCTTCCTCTCATCACAATCTTGTGATTTTTTCTCTTTAAGATTCCCTCTAGGTTAATATAGTGATTTCCATCTTTTGTTCCACTTTGAAACCCCTGCCCCATCGGTCCCAGTTGGAGTTTTTAACCTGAGACTTCTAGAGATCTAAGAACTGCTAGAAATTTTATGCAGCAATTTTGTGCATGTACATATTTGTTTTTATTGAAGGATTAACCACAGTTTTGATCCAATACTCAAAAGACTGACATCCAGAAAAAAGTTAAGATTGATCACCCTATAACATCAGATCCATGCAACATGCTGACCTTATGCCTTTGTGACTGTTCCATTTGCTCCTGTAACTGCATTCCTCTCTCCTTCCATGTGTGACAGTTGTCCCATATTGTCCCTGCTGCCCATGCACGTGGAGTGCTCCTCAGTCTATAACATAGAATGCACACAGCCTGCATTTTCCTGTAGCATCTAAAAGAATTATTGCTAATTTAGCCTGAAACTATTTTATTAGTTTGATGATTCAATATAGGGTGATTATGACTAAAAGGCACTAACTCTATAGAACAATAAATTTTGGTTGATTAGTAAAATCAGGTGATGGATCATCAAGTGAAAATATTCTGGGAGGAGGCACTATCTTGGTTGTTTTTCATTACACAAATAGCCAATATAATAGTGCTAAAATTCGAGACCAGAAATAGCTCTCAGCATTCAACAGTGGGTAACCACAATGCCCAATGTACAAACTTAAGATTAAATGGGGGTGGAAGGCTGGCACACTCAAAAAAGACGAGGTTGCCAGGAGTGCAGGGCCCAATCAAGCAGGTGAAATAAACATTTTGCTTTCTGATAAAGCATTCTCCAATTGTGTGCTATTCTTAGGAAATGGCTTGCTGGCTACATTGTATACAGTTCTAATTAATTTTCAAAGCAATTTCCAGAAAGTAACAAACAGGAAAGATTCTACATAAGATGGAAATGTGTTTATTTATTACCTTGGTGAAAGTAAAGACAGCTACTGTATTTCCCCAGTAGAAATTATCATCAGCACTATATCATTATAATATCATATGACACTCCTGCCAAATGGCTTCTTTTTATTTACTTCATAGTGAAAACAAGAAAATCATGAATAACTTGTTAATATATCCATGACTGATTAGCTGCCTCGTATTCAAGAAAATAGTCATGAATATCAGCCTCTGCTGGAATAAAATGTTTGTTTCGAATTTATTTCTTTAAGATAAAATCAATGTAATGAATTACATGTCTTACACAGACAAATGACAGAAAATAAAGGCGGTCTCAACACATTATTGTCACTAGAACAATGATTTTAACAAACATGCTATATTTTGAATGTTTCTGTTAAGTAAGAATACAAACTTTGAGATGTTTGCAAGTCTTTACATGAGGTTCAAGGTCACCTTACAGTAATAGACTATACCTGATGTCCAGGGAATTTCTAGTTCTTCATGACACTATATCATAATAGCAGCTATAATGACTTTTTACTATATAGTGCCAACATGCCAGACATTGGACATTGCTATTAGATGCAAGGTTAGGATCTCAGAAAGGTTTTAAGATGGCTGTGGTATTCATTTTGTGTTACTTAGTGCAGAAATTTTAATATTTTTGATGTTTTTATTGGATTCTTTCTAGTCAGCAAAATAAATAGGTAGTTGATTTACCAAAGACTACCTTATTAAAGCTTTTTAATTGGCATTTCATGACTTCTTTAAACAATAAATAAAATTGAATGCAGGCTAAATTTAAAAGTCATGGTGCATCAGTTCAGTGATTACCATTCCACTGTAGGCATAGAAAAAAAGATCTATTTTGCTACTATAGGCAGTGTCTACTCTGAGGTATTGAGTTACCATGCAATAATGAATATTTCCAAGACTTTCAGCTTTACTGAACATCTGCTTTTCACAACCACATTTTAAGGGGAAAAAAAAAAATCTAAGAGACAGAAAAACATACAAAATCCCCAGGACAGGAAAAATTTCCTTCTCATCTCTTCCATAAACCAGCCCCAGATTCCAAATTGAAACCACTGATCACATGAAATCATTTTAAATGTTGCTTTGTACCAGTCTCTTTTGTGAAGCAGAACTCAGGGGTGAAGGTGAGTGTGGTTTTCAGAACACTCTGCAACGATCATTGTTTCCAAAACAGAGCAGAGAGAGGCCAGAGTGATCAGACAGACAAAACTCCTTTCCTGCTCTTCAAGGGTCAAGCAAATCTGCTCTGTGGCTAAGAGGCACACGTTGAGTTCTCAGTCTCCTGCTACCTATGGTGGCACAGGTCGTACAGTCACCCATATAGAAAATGTGCAGACGAAATGCTAGTTGCCAGTGGAGTGAGAGACTTTTCACAGATTATGAAAATACTTTCTTGAAAAGTAGGGTACACTGTCCACTCCGTGTTGAGAGTGACAAAACGAAAACTGACCCAGGGACTCTGGTGGACATGAGCCAGTCACACAACCCTTCTCCACGAGGCAGTAGCAAGAACCCTGCCTGAGTCATCAGGTATATCTTAGTGAAAATATTTTTCTTCTGGCTTCACATTTTTTGAGTACCCAATTCTAAAAAGCCTATTACGTTTTATATGTCCTACAGATTTCATTGACAAGAACAGTCTTATTTTCAATGATTTGAGACAGATACATCCACCAACATGAAACCAGAGTAACCTTCTATTTTATGTTTACTTCATATTCTGTTAGGAATGCAATTATATTTACATTTTAACATTATAATGGTTATAGAATTGTATCCGTTATAGAATAATGGCCCAAGACCAAAAGAATAAAGAATATGGAGTAACATAATTTTTAAGCTAAAAATAGTTCAATCATCTTCGATTTTAGATCCTGCATTTTACAGAAGAGGGGAGAGATGTTTGTTAAGGGTCTCATGGCTTTCTCCTATGTCATCAATTTCCTTTTTTCTACTGGACCACTTCAATAAATATACAGAGATGTTCTGAGGTCCTCCTATTATATTAAAAATTAACGTCCTTGGCTGGGTGCAGAGGCTCACCCTGTAATCCTAGCACTCTGGGAGGCTGAAGCAGGTGGATCGCTCAAGGTCAGGAGTTTGAAACCAGCCTGAGCAAGAGTGGCACCTGGTCTCTACTAAAAATAGAGAGAAACTAATTGGCCAATTAAAAATATATAGAAAAAATTAGCTGGGCATGGTGGTGCATGCCTGTAGTCCCAGCTACTCGGGAGGCTGAGGCAGAAGGATTGCTTGAGCCCAGGAGTTTGAGGTTGCTGTGAGCTAGGCTGACGCCACGGCACTCTAGCCCAAGCAACAGAGTGAGACTCTTGTCTCAATAAATAAATAAATAAATAAATAAATAACATCCTTAATCCATATGTTTCTGCTTAAGTACCACCATAGCCATCTGCTACCTTCACAACAAAACCTGTAGAGAAAGGTTTCTATAGAGGTTGTCATCAACTTTCTCATCTCAAAATGTCTCCTCCCCCCACCCGACTCAGGCATATACCACACTATGGGAGCTGCTCTTATCGGATCCCCAATGGTCTTCATTTTGCAACCACCTAGTTTTGATATTCTATGACCTAGAAGAGCTGTAAGAGCAAAATTAATATTGATTAGGAATCATTTTGTTAGTATCTTTCTCGTTGACCTACTTAGCCTGCTATTTATATGATAAAAATAATTGAAACAATTTATCAAGTATTTTCTATATGTTGAACACTGTGAGACGTCAAAAGAATATTAAAAAACAATTTTCCCAAATAAGCTTTCTTTCTACTTAAAAGGGTAAAATAGGGAAACCTAAAAAATATAAAGGCAATTACCCAGAAAAGCAAAACCACAAAAACAAAACAATATGTTCGTGCTTAAGTGAATTAGAGTAAGGACTAAAAGCATGTACAGAGGAAGCCAGATAGCTTAGAAAATCTTTTTGAAATAGTCGAATTCTGAGCCAGGACACGAGGACCTGCAACCCATACATCATCTCTGATTCCATGTTGTCTTCTCAGCAAATATTGCTGCAAGAGAGCACAGAACTTATCCCAGGGATGTGGGCAGAAGTTAGTAAGTGATAGGTGAGAGACAGAAATCACATTAGCTTGTTCAAAGTACAGGGACCCTATTGAGAAATAATGTCAATGGTTGTTCCTTCTCATGCTTTGCCACAGTCCTCTGCTCTCTCACTCTCTGCCCTTTCTCTAGGTGACTTCAATGACTCCCAGAAGTTCAGTTGTCACCTGTATGCCGATAGTTCCAAAATATACATCTCTACTCTAGATTGTCCTGATAAGGCAAATGTCCATGTGCTTTCTAGACAATGTCCCTGGGCAACCTGGCAGGGAAGCTCAAGAGTCTCCATATATTTTTAAAGATGATCACATTTCGAGAATTAGACTAAGCAGTGTGTTCCAAGGAAATTATTGGGATCAATGATACAAGTTATAAAGAAGTCAGTTTTTCTTTTATATAATGAGACACTTAATAGGACGTTAAAATCCCACCCTAATTATCCTCTGGCTTAACATTCAGGATGTCTCCCGTTCAGCTATGCTGTCTAACCCCATCCTACTACTTGTCTTCCCTGACCAGGCTCCACACTTTTGTGCCATGAGGTTCCTCCCCTGTTGCCTACATAGATAACCCACCCACTCACCCTCATTCTACCACTCAGGGTCCAGCCAGGAAAATGGAAAACACACCAGGTGTTGCAATACAGGGATGACATAGAGAGACTGCCTTTCACAGCCTCTGAAGTCCTGAAAAAGCTAAAAGGGACTGAGAAAAGCAGAAATGATAACTGCAGGAAACAGCTCCACAAGGACTAAGGGAACAAAATGGTGGCAGTGGGAGTATCAGACCCTAGATAGAGACTCACGGAGTTGGTGTCCAGGCCTCGGAGGAGGGGATGTCCCTGGAGCCTTGGGGGCTGAGAGGAGGGACCCTGTAGAGCTGGAGCTCTGAGGAGCAGGTGCTGCCCAGCTGGGCTGGCACCGCCATGGGGGTGTCACGTGATTGGCGCCCAAGTCCTTAAGGTTGGAACTTGGACTTACTCGACTTACGTTTCATACCCGGCAGCTGAATCCAGTGCCTGACGCTCAAGCCCTTCCCAACCCTCGTTTCTCTCCTTTGCACTCTATTCTACACACTGCTCTCAACATGCTCTACCTAATAACAAAATGCTAATCACGCCACACCCCTTCCTGAATCCCTATAATCATTTCCTGTTGCCTGATGTTTTAAATCTGTACCCCTCTCCCTGATGTCAATGGTCTTCAGGAATTTTCTAGCCTTTTCCACTGTTTCCCTAAGTGCCTTCCAGGCTCCCACGGTACCTCAATTCTTCCCTAGAAATGCAGCAAATTTTCTATCTTCAACATCTATCTTCAAATTTTCTATCTTCAACATCTTATAGACCACGAATTTCAGCTTCATCTTATCCCTGAATATACTGTCAAAAAATAACAATACAGAGATGCAAAAATCACTTTGGCTTTCATTTCCAAGGGGCCAAACCAGAGTGAATGAAGTCACTGCTGCACAATTAAGACTTCACATAGTTTCATTGAAAAAAAAGGAACCTAATTTTAGCCAATTAGAACTTAAGTGACAGCTAAATGTGTAAGGAAGACTGAAAAAATGCAACTCTGCCCATGCAAAGTTTTTACACCTTTTCTGATTTGCACATACATGGTAGACTGGTTAAAAGGGATGCGTTCTAAATTCTCAGAAGCTCAACAACTAGGACTGATTCTGGGCCACATGCAGACACACTCGGTAGAAGTAGAGTTTTATTGCATGTGAGTTGCAGCATTTCAGAAAATTCTAAAGCATCGTTTTGCCTTATTTTTCTTTTGAGTTGCAAAGTTTTGGCTTTCAACAGGAAAAGAAAATTTGCTACTTACCCTTGCAAGGTGCCCCTTTCATGTGTGAAAAACACTCAGGTGAAAATGTCAGATGCTTCACGTCTCCTCAGGCCTGTGAAATCCAAGGGATGTGAGATTTTGTTATTCATGAGATTCAGATTGGAGATTCAGGAGCATTTCCTGCTCGTGTCTACCTCCTGGTGCTGCCTTATCGTTTTATTTTGAAAAAGCAAATATTAAAGATTTTGTTCTTCCATTTCAAGTATGAAATTACTATTATTTCCCTCTATTAAAAAATGAAAATTATCCTGGAACTCTGAATTTGTGTTAAAAAAAAAATAAAAGCAAATGTTCTATGACATCTAATTGCTTAGAGCACTTTAAATCCAATTTCTTTGTGTAAGTTCCAGACCAACTTCTGAATGATGAGACTCTAAATACAAGTACTATTTCTATTTTGGTAAGAACTTGCCTACATGTCCAAATTATCTCAATCTATAACTTATTCCACTTCCAGAATCATTCATTTATTCATTCATTTAACCTATCCCGGATGCCTAACAGCCACCTGCTGTATATTAATGCATACTTCCTTCTGTCGTTTCTGGAACTCCTCCAACCATTATGAGTCATAATGACAATGTGCCACCCCATACATGGGCTGAGCACTTGTCTGCAGTGACAAGCTCTACGTTGGCCAATACCACCACGACTTAGTGCCTCAGTTCCTCCTGTGCCCTTGAGTCAATGGCATCGGGTCCGAATTTTGGATCCCTTTAAAGATGCATGATAGGTAACAGTCAACTGGTTAGCAGAGACACTTGCCCAGCCAATTAAGTATTCTGAAATCTGGGAAGTTCATGTAGGTGAGGATAATTAGTATTAAAAATAAACTAAGTCTAATAAGCCTCAGGAGTGGAAACTAGCCCAGGATCTCATCTAATAAAAATAAATTCAGTTGAATTTTAAATTTTTGAAGGTTAAAAATATTTTAACATAAATTTTAGCATTTACATAAAAGTTTCCTTGGGGCTGAGATTATGTTTTAATAATGAGTTGTAAAAGCAATGTTGACTTTCCACTGTACGGAGACTTGTCCACATTGAAGAAACTGGGTCTTCAAAATATTAAGTAGGCAGCTCTTGGTTTTCTAAGCCATCTTGCTCTTTCCCCAGCCACAATCACAGGATATTCCTTCTGGAAGGGCAAGCAGAGCTCCTCCCCTGGGAACATTCTTCTCTCCTCTCCTGCCCGTTTTACCATAAGATGTACTAAAGTTAACATTTTCTTGGTTCTTCGTGGTAGCTGCTATCTCTTGTTTATTATTTAAAAAGAGAGAAAGGTATATTTTAAACTTCTTTTACAAATGTATTCTTATTCTACATGTGATTATTTTAATTCACAGTACTCAAAGAAAGCTAAATTACCAAAATGACAGGAGAAATACACTTTCCTGGTTTTCTAAACAAGATCTTTTACACATGAATAATAAGTCCAAGTAAAATTTCACGCTGTTTATTTTTATGTGTCCTACCATTGAGAGACTGGATAACATAAAAAATAAATACTGATAATGAGAACTGTCCCTGTTTCTCTGGATTTGGAATTAGATATTTTAGTCATAGTACAGATGCTGGTTTTGTGTTATAAATTGACTTTACAAGAACTTTTAGTATTGGAACTAGTTTGGAAATATAGAACTTGACTCAAAAATATAATGCCTATGCAGATTATCAATAATACTACTTTGTAAATGACAATTCTGGATTTTTGATAGAAAAATATGTTATAAAATAAGTTTCTTTGTGTCAATCTTACATAGTCAAAATCAAATTATATAAAATATTTTAGATTAATTAAATCAAAAGATTCCCTAATTATATATTAAAGTATGAAATAGTTCCCTTACAGAGTAAATAACATAAAGCTGGGGAAAGAAATAGATTAAAAAATTAGTCAAAGAAGAAAAAAGCTGCTAGTCTAATTTGTAATAAAAGGCATAAAAGTTTTACACCTGGAATTTACAAGATCATCAAGTTAAGAATTAATCTCTTATCCAACTGAACACAATGATAGGAAAAATGGAAAAAAGAACACACTGAATGTGAGAAACAGAAACATAAAAGTACTATTTTAAATAACTATAATACAGTATCAAATTGAAGATAAGACCTATTGCTTCTATTGTTTCAAAAGAAATAAACATAAGGAGCAGAAAGTCATACTCTGAATGATATTTTTCTCCTGTTATTAATGTACTAAAAAATTTTATAGTCTGGCCTTATCAAAGTGTAAAAGAAGTGCATCTGATTTCACTAGTGTTAAACTGAATTACAACAGGAAATCGGTTAATGCCTTAGCCCCTGGAGTCAACAGCCATATCCCTACAATCGTTTACAAATGTCAAAAAGACCTGTAATAAAATAAATTGGGAAATAATTTGAAAATGATCAATAATAATAATAAGAGTTAATCAAGTGTTAATTATGTCAGGTATGAAGGTCATCACTAGAGTGCATTATCACATTTAATTCTATCAGATATCAGATTTAATATCAAATGTAGAAGTAGGTATTACTGTGCCTATTTTTGGGGTAAGGAAACTGAGATATCAACAGCTCTTCAATTTTGGGTGTGACACATTATGATTACGATAGCTTCCAAACTCACACGGGATTTGAAAGACCTTATTTTATTCTGACTTTATAAATTTGGGGCTATACCTAACAGTAAAATAATATAGACTTTGTTGTTAATGAGGAAGACACACTTCTGCTGCTATCATAAGCTTTAGGTCTCTGCCTTCGTCTACAAAACGCTTTAAAAACCACAGGGAGCTTAAACATAAAATGCATCTGAGAAACCATCATGAAAAGCATGTCCTAGCTTTTTAGTAATGATATTAGCTAGCATTTATTAATTGCTTGCTCTTAATATATGACCACCCTATAAGGCAAGTCATTATTTCTCCATTATACTGATGGGGAAACAGAGAGATGAAACTACATGGTCATATGGTGAATCAGTGTTGGAGCCAAGATTCAAATCCAGGCATTCTGGCACCAGAGTTTGCCCTCGCAACTATCATATAAAGCTTCCCTTTTCAGTCACATTAATTTTACCTAAATAATATTTCCAGAGATCCTACTATCTAAACAGACCTGTGGTTAACAGGATAGAGAAGACACACACACAACATACATGATCACAGAAATTAATGGAAATAGCACATACTCTGTGTGCTAGGCCCAGTACTAGATTACATGGGCTTAAAGCAAAATTTCTAAGTCATGGGACAAAGCCATCTCTTCCAAAAATCAAATGATTTTAAGAGCCATGCTACTCACAGACTGTCACACAGCATGCTTTACATAAGTACAGTACCTCGATCAGAGTCAACATCTGGTAAACGTAGATTAGATGCCAGATCTCTCCAACTCCAGAACTGATGGTCTCTTCCTTATACTTTGCAAGAAGCGTAAACGAGGTTCCCACTTAAAATGTATTTGGAGAAACGAAATGTAAAAATATTATAGCAACACGATATTTGAATATAGATTCAAAGCAGCAATGAAAGTTGCATATCACTACATTTCCTGAAAGCAAAATGGCAAATCCCCTGCGCATCTTCAAAAAAGTTAAACATATACATACATAAATAGTTGTATTGAAAGACAGGAAACTTGCTATTTCCATTCTTCCAGACTACTTAGACTGCTTTTCTGCAGTTTTCTTTTTCCATGTATCTTCTATTCATGCAATACCAAACTGTTTATTATTTCCTAAATAATCTATAGTCTTGAAAATTCTTTGGAATGCCCTTCCCTCGTGAAATTCTATTCATGCATCAAGACAGTTTACATGCCATTTTCTTGGACAGTGTTGTCCCAATTTCTCTATCATAGTGAGCTGGCAATTATCATACTGTGTAACAACTATTGCTGTATATATATGTCTCCCATTACACAGATTGCTTCTTAATGCATAAGCCATGTTCCTTTGGTTATTTTTTTAAATTATTTTATGTTGACCATATTCTCTCTGGTTCACCTTTTCCTGGAATTAAACAATCTATATTATAAAGTATTCTAGGTGTATCTTTAAGAGTTCTAAAAACATTTCAACATTTATTCTGGAGAACTTTGGTCATTGCCTATTTTGTGTGTATTTTTGTGCTTTTAAAATTTCTTATGTTCAATACTTATTTCAGTTTTTAGACTTTTATTCCTGAAAATTTTATTTCTATTATTTCTACATTTACTTCTCTTGAAATATTTTTTATCTCACTCATCTGCCTTTTCATCTTATAATATTTCTACTATTTCTACATTTACTTCTCTTGAAATATTTTTTATCTCACTCATCTGCCTTTTCATCTTATAATATTTCTACTATTTCTACATTTACTTCTCTTGAAATATTTTTTATCTCACTTATCTGCCTTTTCATCTTATTCATTCAACAGTTTTTACTGAGCAAGACTTTGGAAAGAGCGGCAATGAACCAATCATTGCCCTCATAAAGCTTAAATCTTTATTCTGCAATTATTCGCTTGACTTTCTGTTCCATATCCTTGTTAGCCTGTGAAGAATACTAAAGAGCTTGATAAGACTTTTTTTTTTCCTGCTCTCGTATTTAAATGTTTTCCAAAATATGATTTTGTTCTGAATGTTCAGAGAAACACACTATTTCCCTTCTGCAGTTTAACATGCTTAGCTCCTAGCTAGATCACTGGTGTCTACCATCATTTCAATTCTGTCTGTGGCTCTCTGCCTGAGTCAAAATCTGCTCCTTCCCCTACTGCCTGATTGTCAGACACAGTACAGAGACCAGTCTCTGACAGCATAAAATCAACAGCCTGTACTCCTACAAGGACACTTCCTAGATCAAGTGCATGAAGCATCATCACCAGGCCCTGCTGCCTCATTGCTCATGCCCGGCTCTGACCACCAGACGGACCTGCTGTCCAGCATCTCACTGAATGTGAGAAGAATGAGCAGATGTGGGCAGACATAAGCAGGATGAGGGAAGAAGCACTCAGTCCACCTCGAGAAAGGAGTACCCATGCCTTAAAAAGGGTACTCTTCACTTTTCTGATTGTGTTTCTCAGCCAGGAGACAGCCATTGAGAATACGGTGTTTTAAATCTTTAAGTCAAATTCTCTATTTTCTGTAAGTTATGGGCTTCACGTTACCATGTGCAATCCACATCCATTGAATTTGTTTTTAATGAACACTTTTTGATTCTGGCTATGGGTTAATTATTACCTCTAATGTTTATCATGAGTGTTTTCATTATTATTTGTGTCTTCATAGTTTTTTTTTTTTTAGTGGGAAATTAGGAAAGACCACATGAAAGCCTGCAGGAGATATCTCATTTTTAAAACTGAAATCTAACTTGAAAATTTTAAAGTTAAAACATTCAAATTATCTGATTCCCTTTGTATCAATTAACCTTTAAAACCAAAT